CTGGCGATTTTCTAAACACGGAACACCTTACCTCACCCTTCTTGAGAACTGCTTCTTTATGCAAAGCGTGCAGCTTTCTGAAGTATGTGGAATCCAGCTGCCGAGTCTCTTCTTGTAGTTCCACCTAAAAACCAGCAAAGCTTACGATACTAGTAGAAGGCACTATATGAAAAATGGGGGACAGAGCCAAATGGCTTTTGAGGTGGGAGCAGAAAGCCCTGCTTCACTTAAAACATTGGCCACAATGAAGTCACGAGATTGGCCACAATGAAGTGACGGGGGATGGATGTATACAACAAAGAATGAATACTTTGTATTTAATGACACGGTTGCGGTCAGTGCACACCACGCCCCTCCCTGGGCACACACAGACAATGTAACTATGTTGACCACATTTTCAGTTTCTGATCAACCTAAGAGAGTGAGTCACAGAGGCTGCCAGTCAGTGTAGGAACCAAATACTTAGCAGGAGAACAAGAAGGGGCAGCGTTGTTTACTGGTGTTCCTAAGTGTTTTTTATTGCTATAGCAAAAGAGGAAGCAGGGCTGGAGAGGTGGCTCAGAGGTTAAGAGCATTGGTTGCTCTTCCAGAGGTCCCGTGTTCAATTCCCAGCAACCACATGGTGGCTCACAACCACCTTGAATGAGATCTGGTGCCCTCTTCTGGCATGCAGGCATACATGGAGGCAGAATGTTGTATACACTATAAATAAATGAAATCTTAAAAAAAAAAAAAAAAAAGAGGAAGCAGTCCGTCAAATTACTGCTCATAGCAGGTCTGTCTTCCTGACATATAAATCCTCACTCTCTACAGACAGGAGAATAAAAACACTCTCCAATTCTCTATGGCAGGGAAAAAGCTTCCAAGTTTGGCTGGCTAGGTGCCTGGGAACTTTCCGTATTTAGCGGCTAGCTAGCTTTGATAGTCTGCTTGGAAGTCCTTCTGGGGAACGAGTTCACATCGTTCAGTCAGCCAGGCTTTTAGAATAACCCTCTGGATCGAAGGTAAGAAATATTCTAGAACTAAGATGAATGCTTTCCCTTTAATTGTTAGAACCAACAGTATATAAGCCGTCTTACATGTTTTTATAAGATTCATTGGCTAGTGCCAAAATGTTTTGGTTCAGGGCAATTATACTTCCAAATTTGTTTTGCAATTACAGGATCGCATTGCAGACTTCACATTTCTTCTGAGAAGTGTGTTATATATTGCAAATGTAAGTTGAGAGAGGCTTTTAAAATATCACACGATATTCTAATTTTTCTAGTGTAATCTCTACATTTCTATAGTAGAAAGGATAGTATGCTAATTTTTTTAGACCTGCAAGAATTAAGGAATGAAGGGAACTAAGAATTTATTTGGGTTATAGAATTGTTTCAGTCACACTCCAATGAGGTGAGTCTATGCAAAGTGTTTCTGTGTTAATTTTATCATAATTGTTTAATTGACCCTTCTTGGTAGATAGCTCAAGTCCTTGGGTAGATATTAATAAAAAACAGGAATTCAGCAGTGGCCTCTGACCCCAACAGTGGCCTTACATGCATTTTTACCTAATGAAAAAAAAAAAATACCCAGGGACAGTTTTTATTTGTGATTCAAAAGAAATATCTAAAGAGATTTCCTCTAACCATCAATGATAATCATGAAAATATCCCAGTGCTGAGGTTTAAAATGACATTTTTTTGGAATGTCAAATGCTGTGTACAAACTTATCCAGTCAAATGTTACGATCTGATGAACACCTGGTACTTTAGATAGAAACGCTGAAGTCAGTGGGTCAGCTTTTCATGATACATGGGAAGCAGTTAGATTTTCTACGGGGTGGAGGTGGGAGATACTTCCTGTAACCCATCCAGCAGAAAATAAAATGGGTTTTTCCCATTTGCCTTAAGACCACTGCTGGGAAATGTCAGTAAAGGATGACACCAATCTGGCTACTTGCACAAAGTAAAAGCTCACATTTCTCTTCTGACACATTTTTACAGAGAGCCGAGAGAGGCAGAGATCAAGGCTTTTGTTAGAAGACAATAGGGAAACTGACAAGAAACAAAACGAGGAAGATAAAAAAATGAACGGGGTTAATAGGCATTTGCCCTGCCTGTGCCTGGGGTCTTCCCCAATCCTGACTGCAGAGCCCTGGCCCACCCGGGGCCGTAGGCCATGCTTGAGCCCTCTCCTGCAAGCAATGTCCTCCGGGCTGTGGTACCTGTGCATAAGCCACTTGGTCTGACATCACCATCTGTGTCCAGGGTTCCAGAAGGATGAGGAGGATATATTCTTCCGCTGTGTCAAAAAGGTCCTCGAATGGTGGCTGTATCCTTAGGTAAATGTCCTTCCTCTCTTCCGGGTCAAGTCCTATGTCGAGGGTGGCTGACGGAGCAATGTAAGTGGCAAAAAGATACTGAGAGAGAGAGGGTGGGACAGAGAGGGTGTTGTGAGAAGCCACAACAGTTAGCAAACTCATCGGCAAAGATGGCAAACACTACACATGGTATGGTAACTTATTTGTCCAAAAGAATGCTCTCCTTTTTTTTTTTTTTTTGCAAAAAATTGACAACTAGTCATCCCCCCCCACACACACACAGAGCTAACAAGAGTGTAAAGATACGCTATGATTGACTGACTGTCGGGAGCCAGGAAAATTCCATTAGAGGATCCGCACACACACAGAGATAACAAGAGTGTAAAAATACGCTATGATTGACTGACTGTCGGGAGCCAGGAAAATTCCATTAGAGGATTTCTGGAGGTCCAAACCTCCAGTTATGGTAACCTGGGAGCTCCGGTCTACAATTGTTGCAGATGCTAGCTAATCTGCTATTGAATGGCATAGCCTCAGCGGAGAATGTCCCATAGTTTTGGGTCTCTACAGAACTAAGCATTTGAAGAGGCCTGCACCAAGGCTGAGGGCTAAGTATACGGGACAAGTGAGGATAGAGAGAGTGAGGAGGTATCTGGCGGGGGGGGGGGAACTGTTGAGAGAGATCTACTGATAGGGTCTAGCAAGATGGAAGAGAAGCGGTCTCAGGGTCAGGGAAGCACAGTTAGGAAACAACTGGGAAGATGCTGAATAAAGAAGAGACTCCAGTTTTGCAGCATGGGACTGAGAGCTCTCTAAAGATGACAAGATGCCTGTGTCTGGTCTTTATCGACATGGGGTTACTAGGAATCCCCAAGTCCATGCTCCCCCACGCAGTGGTTTGGGGCTGAAACATGCCGGGCCACAACAACTGAAATCACCTTTGACAGTGCTGGACTTTCCTTGGGTTTCTTACAGAATGAATCCTGCATGCTAGGCGAGCATTCTGCCACTGACCTACACCTCAGGCAGCAGAATTAGAAGAGGCCAGAAGAGGTACAGGAATCCAAGGGCAACTGCCAGGAAAGGACATCCATCCGGCCTCACCCCTTCTCATGCAGAACCCCAGGAACTCTGGGGCTGCAGAGACCAATGGCTCCTCCTCTCCTGTCCCCCACATGGCACCACTTGGAACCTGCCAGAGATCCAGAGGGAACCGAGAAATTCCACCTCAGAAGAGCTGACAACACTTAACACTGGAAGTATTTTTATTCCTTATTTTCTACTATCCAATTTCCACTCTTTCTTGCATTCATTTCTCATGGCGATTTTGCTTTTGCTCGCATGTTGCTCAGTCAGGCTTTATGACAGCTGCTCATGTTCTCCACCTTGTTGGCTATAAGGCATTCTTTACCATACTCACCGGCCACCTCACAGACCCAGCTCTTATTCCTAAGTCTTTTCTTCCTTCTTTAATTCTTACCCCTCCACTTTTTTCCTAGTTGTACCTGCCAGAGACTTAACAGTCTCTAAATCTTTGGCCCTAAGAGTGTCCCAGCTTCTACCTCCCTCCAACTTTACCCAACTCAATTCTTTTTCAGAGTCAATCCTTGGTCCTCACGCTTGGCCACCTTGCTCTCCTACCACTCAAGTCAGTGACTAGAACCCAAGCCCACTCCACACTATCCTTGAGTGTTTGCCTCCAACAGTGGCTTACGTCAAAGGGGCCACACTTGCTAACCGGCTAGTACAATATCCACACAGCTGAGCTAACAAGAAGCTGTGGTTGCCTTCCCAGCTATCCTACATGGGGAATGATATAAAGCTTACACCAGACACCCTGAGCTCCTCAACTAAGCAATTTATTTTCTGAAGGACACACCACCAACGGCCAAGTCCCATGTGAACATTGTAAATACTTCAACTGAAAAAAATATAGCTGATGAAAACATAAAGCAGGCAACAAAATAAGGACCTCATGTGTAAATCCCAACACAGGAGCATAAGAGACATGAAAAACCAAGTCAGTATAACTCTCCCCAAAATTATTAGCCCCACAGCGGTGGCATCTGGGGGTGGGGGAGAGTTAGATGATATCCCAGACAGAGCTAAAAATTATTATAGATATGTGCAAAGATGCAAACGGTGGTGGATGCTTGAAAAGAAGAATTCAGCAAAGAGACAGAAATGATGAAGAAAAACCAACCCGAAATGCTGGAAGTAAAAAGCAGGAGGTCAACAGGCATCTGGGAGGTCACAGCAGCAGAACAGGCCAAGGAGGTCAGAATACCCAAGCCTGAAAGCAAAGGGGAAGAAGGGGATTGTCACAATGCAGACAAAGACAAAGGAAAAAGAAGGCATCTGTGCAAATGTCTAGACATACAGGGTCTCTGAAAATATCTACAAACTGAGCACAGAAGGAGAATCTTGCTCTGAGGGCAGAGAAAACATTTTCAAAGATGTTTTGAAACAGATGATATCCCAGTACGAAGAGAGATGCCAGTCTAGTACTGGAGACAGTTAGGACAGCAAAGAGATAAGGCAAAACAAACAAACAAACAAACAAACAAAGCAACACCTCCCTCCTCATATTATAACCAAAGTCTTGAATATACAGAACAAAGAGAATATGGTTAAAAGTTGCAAGAGAAACACCACATCACACACACAAAGGCAAGTCCATCCAAATAACAGTACATTCGTTGACTGAAACTTCCAAAGCTCAGAGAGTCTGGACAGGTGGAACTCAAGTTCTAAAGGCAACTGCCTACACAGACAGCTATACCAGGCAAATCCATCACAGCTGAAGGAAAAATAACAACTTTCAATGATCAAAAAAAAAAAAAGTGTATGACCACTTAGCCAGCTATACTAACGATACTAAAAGGAATCCTACATAATTAAGAGAAAAAACATCCATCCAGGAAGCTGTAGGAAAAAATAAACCACACACCACACTAGAATAATAGTAAAGCAAGAGGGGAAAAAAAAAGCCCAATACTATAAAACCAAAAATCTGACAGGAATTAATGCATACCTTTTAGTAATAGTTCTGAATACTAATGGTCTTGATTTCTCAGTCAAAAGGCACTAGGAGATAAGGTCGAAAATTGGGAGCCATCTCTTTTGTTGCCTCCAAGAAATGCACCTCATCACAAAAGACAGACACTACCTTAGAATAAATGGATGGAAAAAAGGTTTCCAAGCAAACAGACCTAGGAACCAAGTCCAACAACACAGACTTCAAAGCAGGTGAGAAAAGACGAAGGGTCCCTACTCGTGACTGAGTGGGGATGGAGAGGACACTATAAGTCTAACAGACATGCATAAAACACTAATGCCGTCAGTTCCATAAGAAACAAAAACACTACTAGAAGTCAAGTCACAGACTGACCCGAGCACAAAAGTCCTGGGTCATCACTCTCACCAACTGACCAGCCATCCCATCAAAAAACAGAGAAATACCTCAATTAATTGAGATCGCCGATCACATGGACTTGGGTGAGATGTCTCAGAGATGCTAAAGGTTTCACCAGAGGACTCTCAGAACCTATTACATTCTCAGCAAAGTGACAGAGTGCAGACCAGCACAGAAGAGCTCTTAGACTTCATCGGGAAAGCAATCTTATTCAGAATAGCCTAACAATGCCCTTTAATATCCCTAGCCAAGGATGTCAAAGACTTCTGTAATTGAAACTTTATAAAACAGGGAAGGAAGAGATTAAGGCAGACATTGGAAGATGACAGAAAGACTGTGAGAGGCGTCTCTGCTGGAAGACGGCTCCTACCGGGGGTACTTATTCTCCCTCCCTCTTCCTTTCCTAACTGGGACCTCAGGATACAGTTTTATTATTCGCCTTGTTCAAGTATCAGCGCCTATGATGAACAGGATAATCCTCTCAAGAGTAGCAAGGTTCACTCCGGCTCCTTGATTCTTTGTATCTTTGTTTTAGAATCAAGCAAGTAGAGGGTGTTAGGTGTTAGGGCAGGGCCTTAAAGAGGCCACCCACCTCCTGGCACCTGCTCCCAAGTCATGGTCAACACGTTTACTGTCTTCTGCGGAGCTGTCCCTGTGCTTCCTCAGCTCTCCACGGTGATGGAGGCAAAGGCCGACAAGGGGATGAAGACAAGGATTCGGTTGTCAATGCTTAAAGGGCAGGGCATTAGTTTTCCTGGGGGAGAAGTAAGGAAATGCATACTCATTCTAGATGAGCGTGCCAATGGCAGGCAGAAGAGGGACGATCGTGCCCAGGTCCAGCTTGGCAGCCACTGTTATTGGGCCTACTTACTGGAGAGTAGGTGAGGGATCACTCACAGGTGTGTGGTTGACCTCATGTCACTGCAAAGCCCCCTGCCAACATGGGTGACTCCTACCTCCCGGAAGCTGCGTATGTAGAGCCCCCGCCCCTTTAGCTAATTTTCCACCTCCTATATAAAATGCAGCACTTCCCAAAGCCTCATATAATTGGGGGAGCGTTGCACATTGCCGGGAGGGTCAGGAGGGAGCGGCTAGAATTTCAGGTTAGAGTCTAATGACCCTCCTTTACTCCTCCTCCTCCCACCAGGATACGTTCACAGGCCTGATCAAGGCCGCAGTCACAGCCACAATGCGAGGTAACAACGGCCATGTTACGCTCTAGGGAAAGTGTTCCACAACCTCAGGAAACGAAGTAAACTTACGGTAACTCTGGCTGACTTCCAGCGTTAAGATCTGACTACCAGGCTGGAGAGATGGCTCGATGGTTAAAACCGCTTGTTGCTCTTTGGAGGAGCCGAGTTTGGTCCCCAGCACCTACATGCCACCTCATATCCAGCACCCTCTTCTGCCCTCCGAGAGCCCCAGGAGTGCGTGTGGTGCTCACGCATCATGCAAACAAGCATTCGTAAACACAAAAGGAAATGGACCTTTTAAAAAATTAAAATTGTCGGGGGCTGGAGAGATGGCTCAGAGGTTAAGAGCACCGACTGCTCTTCCAGAGATCCTGAGTTCAATTCCCAGCAACCACATGGTGGCTCACAGCCATCCGTTATGAGATCTGGCGCCCTCTTCTGGTGTGCAGATATGCATGGAAGCAGAATGTTGTATACATAATAAATAAATA